GCGGAAGGTCATCTTCAAATTGAAGAAGATGGTCCTTGTAGCACTGCAACTTCTTGAAAGTTTAAGATTAGATTTATTTTTTTAAACAAATATTATCGTAGGGAAATTGAAAACAAAAGAACAAATAATTTCTTTGAAATAGAACTGAAGTTTAGAGAACAAAGTAGTGCTTTTAAAGGACTTTTGGTAAAAAAAAAAAATTACAAGAAAACTACTGTATTTTTTCCTAGGACTTGTTGAATGGGGAAATTATTCCTCTAAATAATCTTTAGCTATGGTAAGCAGTTATGTTTTAAAATAGTAGTAGGAGTTAATTACTTTAAATTTTAATGCCTGTTTAATGCATTAATTCTTAGAATGCTACTGTAATATTTTCTACATTTGAGCAAATACAGGGTTAGGTGACCATGGATTTATGTCCCTTGCATCCAGAATACTTAACAGGTTTATAATTCAGCCTAGCACCTAAATTCTTTCACTCTTTTTGTATCTGTTGCACCAGCTTGATTAAGTATAGGAAATTGGGATGTCTGGCCATTTTCAGGTAAAGACTCTCACAATGGAAGCAGTTGATTTCTTGACATGAGTGTTGCTTTGTTCTGTGTTTACACCCTGCTTGTTCTACATGTTTGTACATTTCTTTGTTTCGTTGAGATGGAAATAAGCTAAAATGATTGCTAAACCGTTTGTTTTTCCAAAAAGTTTTGGCTCTTTTTAATTTGTTTTCATTGTGTGTTTTTGCAGCAAGCTTAGTAGTGGAAGAGCGAACAAGACAGATGAAAATGAAAGTGCACCGTTATAATCAGACATCAGGGTCTGGTTCTAGCCAAGAACTTGAGCGTGAGCAATATACCAAGGTAAAGTCAGTAGTGTTGGAATGATACTTTGGCTTGAAACTGAAGACATTAACCTGTTTATTTAAAATATTATTTAACCCTGAAGAATACTGTGTTACAAAGCCTGTCAGAAATGTCTTCAAGTAATAACCTTTTAACAGAATTTTTTACCTGTCTGATGTGCATTACAGTTAGTCTTTTATGTCACCTAAAGTGAATCTGTAAAAAGCAGAACACTTCATAACTAATTCAGGGAATTCAACAGCTGTTAAACAAAGCCATGTCACCTCTAGCTTAGGAAGTCCCTGGCCTGCAAATCCCTGGAGGCCGGAAAACTGGGCCATGGAAGTATCATTGTACGTTGGCCCTACTCTTGTTCTTCTCTAGGCCCTTGCTGTGGTCTGACGTGGAGAGAGATAGACAGAATCAGATCCAGTCCCATGCAGCTGTTGCCATATTTGTATAATTTTTTTGCATCCTAATAATGTTCCTTTCCTGAAATTACTTTGATCTCCTTTTCTAATAAAAGTGTACAAATTTCCTCTGATAATTTAGTGTATGTGAAATTACATTAATGCAGTCATGTAGAGAGACCTTTTTTATCTTGATAATGCGAAAATGATATCCCATAACCTTGTAACTCTAAAAGTGTATAGGCTTCTGAGAAAACTGCTGAAAAGATCTACATACCTGCACTGCCGCTTACAAATCAAGCTGCGAGAGGCTGGAGCTGAACTTTCTGCTAAAGACATTTTCCCTTATGACGCCTAACAGAGGGGGAACAGTTGCAGAAGTCAGGAGGGGAAATATTTAGTTAAATTCTGTGTTTCCTTTTAAAGATACAACACTGTGTTGATGTAGGCAAAGTAAAGGGCAGAGACAAAACCAGTGGTAACTCATTTGTTGGGGGAAGCATTCATGCCATTCTCTTCTTCCAATACCGTTGAGAGTTACGTGCTTTCAACCAGTGACCACGGGATGGCAGTATGAATATAGAAGTCCACTGTAAAAATTAAAGACACACATAGCAACTGTGTACATTAAAATAAGGTCTCAGAATAATAGTAGATGTAAGAAAATCACAGCTTTTCTTAATTTAGACTTTCATGCTTCACTAGACACATTTCAAAGACTTTCTTCACGTCAATAAGAACTAAACACTTATATTTTCATTTCTGTTTTAAAAGAGACAAACTTTCCACTTGTGAACCGGTGCCATACATAAAACAAGCACTGTCAATCTCTCAGCAGCTGCAGACATCAGAATGGCATTTATTGCTGTAGCGCAGGCACCAGACTTTCTGTCCCTGCCCCTCTGGGGTCACTTCCCCATGTTTTGCAGAATTGATGCATGCTCCTGGAGGCACAGGCTAAAATAAGAGATAAGTGAGGTATTGAGCAGAAACAAAATTAGAAATGTACTTAGGAATGGGTAAATAGGCAATTGTGCATCAGAATTGTAATATCTAATATATTTGAAATATTTTTCAAGATCTTGTTACAGTTAAATATGTCAACAACTTGAATAAGGATGTTTCTTTTTTGAGACTGCCTCACTGTGAGCATAGAACTTAGACGAAACAGTTTGCAAAGGGAAGAGAAATAAGAGAAACAAGGCTTCAGGTCCTCAGTTGCCAAATTGTGTGATATCAGTGCTATCAAAAAAACCCCAACAATTGGGATGGAAATTTTCAATGAGATCATCTCTCAGAAGCCAGAATTTGTATAATAGTTCAAACAGCTCATTTGATACTGGGTTTGCCGTTACCTTCACAAGAGGTCAGCTCAGGACAAGAGGGTGAGATGCAGTGTGTCTCTGTGTATTGGGATCAGTGCTATTCAATATATCAGCAACCTGGATGAGGGAGTAGAGTGCACCCTC